CTGACACAAATTATTGGAAAGTAATTAGCAGAAACACTTAGCAAAAACGCAGTACCGCATTAATCTCAAGCTACCTGTGACTCAATTGAATATACTTGGTTATGACAATAGAAGGCAGCGAAAGTATTTCTTACGGCTCTGAAAAAAAGAAAAGACATGTTTTCCTCCATACTTTATTTTTTGTAGATGCGGTGTTACCGCTAAGCACGGCAGTATGATGGTCGAGCAAGAGTGATTGGCGATGTGGTGAAAGACGTGACCCACAATTTGACAGAGAGCGACACGTTCACCACACCGTGGTAGTTATCGTGTGGGGTGCTATTGCTTATGGTACCAGATCACCACTAATTTTCATCAGAGGCAATATGACAGCCCGACGCTATATTGAGGAAGTAGTGGAGCCTCATCTTATTCCATACCTAAACATCATCCAAAACCCGATTTTTCATCAAGACAATGCCAGACCGCACGTTGCCAGAGCATCGTTAGCCTTCATGGATCAACATCGCATCAACCGTTTACCTTGGCCACCACGATCGCCTGACCCATATCCAATTGAACATGTCTGGGGCATGATAGGTCGCAGGCTCTTGAATTTACAACACCTTCAACAGACTTTAGCAGCTCTTACTCACGAAGTTGCAGTAGTCGGGAATGAGATACCCCACCAGGATATCGACCACCTTATCAGCACGTTCCGCAGGCGTGTCAATGAGTGTATAGGAATCTTGAATCATCAACACATTATTGAACCAGCTTCTGCAGCCAGTTGACGAATCAAGCTGAAAATTAATCATTTCACTAGTAAGGGACACTGAACTTATATGCCAAAAATGATTAAAATCGGGTAATTATATGTAGGTGTTTACTGTTACGGGTTTAATTTGAAAATCTTGTTGGATCTGCCGTGACCCTGCAATAATCGTAAACACTAAACAAGGGTTATCTTCGTTTCTTTCCTAACCTCAATGTTCCATTTTGACAAGTGTTCGGTCCTTTCCGTCCGGGAACAGTCCGCTGTTGTTCCATTGCTCCATTGCTCCTCTCGAACTTTGTGTTCCGTGTCCAAGTTGAAGAAACTTCACTTTTTGGTCGTAGCTCTGTTGAGAAGCACGCATTTTGCGGATCTTTACGCCAAATGAAGTCTAAGCGTTCTTCCTTGTTATAGATAAATAGATAGAGATAGATAGATAGTTTATTGTCCTATTGGATCATGTTACATGATATAAGACTTGTCAATATCAATTTGAGGGTCATATATGCGTTTGAGCAAATATGCCAGAAAAATACTTATAATTATAAAATAAATAAGGATATTACAATTACAAAACATTTCAAAAGGTTAAATCACATTATAGGTACAGGTACAGTGCAAGAATCGTAATGTGTTCAATCTGTAACGGTAAAAATATATACATATACAGCGAATTTTTTTATCACAAAAAATGTTCGTCTAGCCGGTAAAAATCATTGAAGCTGATACAAAGAAAAGAAAAGCGGTAGGAGAATCTGCTGGAATTACATAATATATAAACTCAATAAACATCGAGCAGTGAGGACAAATGGTTAAAAGCTTAAAAAGAAAACATACATACTTTCGTTAAAACTCGAATAAAAAGTGAAATTAAAATACATTTACTCCACGATAATAGACAATTCACTGATAACGAAATGATTAACAGCTTAACAGAATTTAAAAAACAGAAAAACTCATGTAGAGAGTAATAGCATTTTTCAACCAGATATTTCCTGAGATGTTTTTTCAGCGCAAGGGTATTAGTGCTTCTCCGCAACTCACTCGGCAGATTATTGTATACCTTAGTGCACGCTAGAGTGGGAGATTTTTGGAATAGGGCAGAGTTATGTGTCGGTATACTTAGATCATGCCCTATTCTAGTGTTGTATTGACTATTAATGGCTTTGTTACGAACAAATCTATTGCTATGTTCAAATGTCTCATATAATCCTACGGGGTTGTGGGAGACGGGAGTCTTCGACGCTTTTACGGCGTTCTAGCCGACACTTTTAGGCCACACTCCAACAGAGGTAAGCAATTCGGCTTGCGTTAAAATGGAACCCGGCGCCATATTGGATTTTTGTTTCAGGCCTTCTTCTTTTTCATCTTCTTACAACTTTTCGTCTTCTTCACCTTACGTTTTCTCCACCAAACTACTGCTGATACCTTCAGATGAAGCCCTGACGACTTTTCCACGCCCTGCCCTGTAATGAGAGTTCCAAGCAGCCCCTGAGGAAGGGAGCTGATTCAGCTGTTGCCAATGTCCACAGACGCCATGTGCTGAAACCCCGTCGAACTGCATCTATATACTTAAGCAGCTGCTCATTTCACTTAATATGAATTATTTATCCTAACTTCACCGCTGGTGTGATCCTGAGGTATGCATACTCCCGGAAACTTGGTAAGTCACTAATGTTCGTTTTCATTTGTTGTTAGGTGATCGATTAACCATTGCAAAGTAAAATTTTGAGCTTACTGTGATCATTTTGAATACTTGAAAATCCTGTCATAGCACCCTTCAGGTAGTTTGTTGCAAACTTTGTAATAGCACCCTTCAGGTGATTTATTAAAAATAGTTAAACAGATTTTGGGCAAGCTCTGAAAATTGGCAATCTTTTCATTTCCCCCAGCGCCCTAATCCTCCAAATCAACAACCACTTCGAACCCCAGAAGTAACATTGATCGTGCAGGGAAGTGCATCTACAACCACCCCCCTGGCACGAGGGTAACATTACCTTTTTTTGTAACTCAGTATATTACAGTATATCCTTTCGATCTAACGTAGCTTCCTCTCTACAATACGCAAATAAGAACAATCAGAGTAGCAAGCTGTTCTCTGTTATAAATAGCATATCCGAAGGAAGATAATTGTAGCGACATTTCACAGGAGCGTACCAATGATTTGCCTGAAAATTAGACGCGGGGAAAGACTATGAAGCAGTCAAACAGGATGTACGAATTCATTAAAATGTCGACTGTATTTACTAGAACAAGAAAGTAAAGCAACGAGTGTGTTTACAAAACAACTGATTCTTGGAATCTCAACACAAAGAAACAATGAGCCGTTTGAATGATGAATGCCACCGACATGTGTGGATGGTACGCGAGCATCTAGAAGCTGATACAAGGTGAAAGCTAATGGAAGAAGATGCAACAGGAGACATTACATAGATTCAAAACATGAGTACCCATTGTATGGTAGAATGCCATGAAGGGTTGTGATGTTTATGCAATATAGAACCTTTCTTTTGTATTGACGTGGGTAGCAGAATTGAACAAAACCACCGACATGAACTACACCTCTACAGGGTGGATCAGCTAGTGTTCAGAATTTAAGGTAGCGGATATATTGGATACCCGCGGTTTCGCTGGTGTGGAAGTAGTGTAAAGTATAGCTCATACGTCTTGCATTGATTTGAATGGGAACAGTTTCGGAGAAAGATGCAATATTCAAAGTAACTACTACTTTGGTGAAAGATATTTTTATTCAACGTTTTAATGCAACTATATATATAAATGTGAATGTCTCTTCAGTCTGTCCGCATCACGTCTGAACCACAACATAAAGAGACGTAAACGACTGAACATTTACTTATTTATACCCTAAAATCTCAAACTCTACTTTTTTTTTTTTTTTTATACTCCAACTACCACGAAGGCCTAAGGCCTAAGCACCCATTGGGTACCGTGGGGCTATGGGGGATACATGGGAAAGGGGGGACGCCACACGGACTCTGGCGAGGGAACACGTGTGCATGCAACATGCACACATTCTGGCTCCGCCTACGAGAACCGCCGGGTGGTACCTCCGCGTTCGACAGTCAGAGACCATCTACCACCTACGGACAATCACAACATCCATGGCCAAGAGAAACATTTCTCCTGGGACGGGACTCGAACCCGCACAGCGCACGGCGGCTGATCAGGAGACCGAAGGGTCTACTACTGCGGCCACCGCTGCTGCCTAAAACAAACACACAACATCCATGGCGAAGGCGAGATTCGAACTCGCGGCCCGGCCGGCCGGCTGATCAGTAGCACGACACTCTGACCCACGCGGCCAACCGAGGTCCCAAACTACTGAACTCAAATATATTAGACATATAAGCTTATTACCCATGCTTTCAAAAGTTCTGGAAAAATCATTCTCAAACAATATAGAAAACGAATATCGGAATGTACGACGCAAATTTCCTACTTATATACCCTCACTCAGTTCGGACGGACCAGCGACTGAGCACTTCCGGATGACTCATGTCAAATTCCATTAAGCCGTTAAGGCTGTTGCCCGTGGAATAGATATCTCAAAGTTATTTTCCGGGAATATGCCAATTTCAGGCTATAATCTCTCTCTTTGTACCAAATTTCATCCAGATCCGCTCAGCCATTTTAGTGTGATTAAGTAACAAACATCCACACTTTCTTATTTATACTGGTAGAGATTAGATCTCATGTATGACGTCAGAAAATTGTTTTTGTTCGTCATTTACAAAATGGAATGATATGGAGGTTTCCAAAGTACAATTAGACCAAGGCAAGCCTCATGACCAACCATCCTTCCAGATGAAGCTCATGTACACCTCAAAGGCTATGTGAATGAGCTAATCGCCGCATGCAGTAATCAGAGAATCTATTCGTGAGGAGCTGATGCATCCAGTGAATGTTTGGTATTTGGCCCGCAGACGAAAAGTTGAAGACAATGCCATGAATGACGTTTAGTTCCAACAGGACGGCACAAGTTGCCACACAGCCATTATATGAAATCAAATGCAAGACTCGCTCAAACACTGTACTTGGGTTTCTCACAGGTCACTACCCCTTGGTATCCGCTGAGAGAAGGACGAAACATCTTTCCAGTTCCGTCGGCCATCGAACACTTCGAACTTGATGAAGTTTGAAGAACAAATCTGTCTACTCCACAGACTGCTAGGCTTTGTCATGGTTATTAAAAGGTCTTACAGAATCGTCGTTAGTATTAAATAGGTTAGTTATAGTGTTGGCTCTCCTTTTCGCGGTCTGCAAAAGGGGTTGAAGTGACAAGTGTAATCTCAGGGTCTAAATACATTTACTGCAAATGGAAGACTATGCCCACCACTAGTGATATTCCCGTATACAAAAGCTCCGAAGCCTTTCCTAGAAAGTGTGCCTCCGAAGTGGGTGTAATCTACGAATACGTAGCAAACACACTAATGAATGGTTGAAAGAGACCTGTACTATTCTTTGTAGATGTACACAGAAGTCATTGTCCCTAAGCAACTGTTCTGTCCAAAATCAAATAATCTTATATGCCTTGCCACCAAATGTCACTCACGTACTGCAACTTGCCAATGTTGCTATACTCGTATTTAAACCTATTAAAGAGTACTGGCATCATGCGGTCAGAAAATGATAGGCAATTCATGAAAATAGGGCGTTTACAAAAAATAGTGTTTGTGCAATCTATGAAAATATTCTCCATAATCCCAGTATCGCGGCCAGCAAAACTGATTGAAGGTGTCAAGTGTAATCTCAGGGTCCAAATACAATAGAGGCATTAATTGAGATTTTATACCTGTTTCCCCGACATTCAGAAAATTTTACTATGCCTTGTCTTTCTCTCGCTTTCTCAACCCTACGTTTCCTAATTAATTATTACCATACGAAGCTCTACTAAAACCATCTCAATAGGTACTAAGTATGAGTATTCCAAATTCTCTTCTACTATCGCTAAGTTTGAAAGACATTCCTTAGTGCCAGTCTGCATCCATAACTCCCTCAGCACGGCACGCCGTTTACCCCGAAGACCTAAAGTGTCTTTCATGCGTTAATTTCCATGTAGTGAGCAATCCGCACTTTGGAATTCCAGATATTCCCGGTATAATTGCTCCAGGGATCCAGACAACGGTGGCTGTCGCTCGCTGATGCCCTCGCGCCAGCTGTTTTCTACTGATCCGCAGAACAATTCCTAGTTCAAGGACGTGCCGGGAATTAAAATTATTCGTGGCTGCATTGCTAGAAAATCGATATTTTATGGTTAATAAGTACAACGTTGTCTAGTGTTACGAAAAAATAAGTATTAATAGTAGTAATAAGGAGACAAAACTCTTACATGGGGAAAAGTTTAGCACCGAGGGGCTAGCCACTGACAACTTAATGAAACAAAAGTCCTTAGGTTTCTTCAACTCCTGGAAACCCTTGGATCTACTCACATTCCCTTGGATTTCTTCGCATCCCCACTGAATAAAATAATAACATATACAAAAGAAAACTATGAACTATAAAAAATTAGCAACCACAGCATATTATAATTAATTACATCACAAATTAGCCCCAATGCATCTGCTTGGATCGTTTCATTGGATTGTCTCAGATCTCGTTAGACTTCCTCGGACCTCCTTTTGACTTTGTTCTCCTATTACTGGAATGGAAAATGTCCCGTTATTGTCTCGATCTGGGATAAAGAAACTCCTCGAATTTCATCGAATCTCCTTTGATTACTGCGGACCTCCTTGAATTATCTCTGAATTTCAAATATCTTTGGACTCGGACTTCCTCCAGGGATACAACTTCTCCTTGAATGTCCTTAAATTGCCTCTAAATTTTGGATCTCCTTGAATTGACTCGCATCTCGTTAGACTTCCTCTCTTCTGCCTTTGATCTCCTATGATTGAGATGGAAGGAGTCATGTTATTGCCTCGATCTGGGAAATTCTCTTTGAATGTCCTCAAACACCTTTGTATTTTCTCGAATGTTCTTAAATTGCCTCTGAATTTCGGATCACCTTGAATTATCGGAATCTCACATTTCTTTGGAATCGGAGTTCCTCCCAGAGGGATGAAACTTCTCCTTGAATGTCCTTGAATATCTTTGGGTTTTCTCGAAAGTTCTTAAATTGCCTCTGAATTGCTCCGTATTGTCTTAGACTACCTCTGATGTCCTTGAATTGCGCCTAAACCTCGAACCTATTTTAATCGCCTCGTATCTCCTCACACTGTCATACAAAATCTCCTCGGTGATGATCTGTTGCGCTCACAGGCTAAAGATCTCAGATAAAAAGTCACTTGATGTTAGGGTATATGACAAGCTAAAAAACACTACTAAGAATCTTACTTTAAAACATTTTAAAAATACACTTTTGCTAAGAATTAGTTAAAACATCCTTTGTATTCCTTGAATGAGTTTATCGCGACCCCCCTATGTGTGTGATCTGGCCTACTACACCTTTATATTATATTTTATTTTATTTTTACCAATTATAGTTTTATATGTATTGTATACGCCATCAGTAGTTTTCAAGAAGCTATTTTTATGTGTAATGCATACCAACAATTTTTATGACAAGTGTAAAAACAAATGTTTTGTTAATTATATATATATATATATATATAATATATATATATATATATATAATATATATATATATATATTCTATCCATCATTGTAGGCACATACACTGACATTTGTTTTGAATCATTGTAACATAATAATAGCCAAATACCAAATTGATTAAAATGATATTTACAGCAGTACCATATCTCCGAAAGAGGCAATTCATCGTCCTTGTCCCTGTTCGTTACTCTGCATCACTTTCTTTTCAGTGATTTACTTGGACTATTATGTCAAGTGTGTTTCAAAAAGTAAGAAACTTCCTCATTATTGGGGAATATCCTGAAGCTATAAGAATTATGAGGTATTAATTATGATAATCATCACTGTGATATCATTGTTTAATAAGGAATATTAATTTTAAAAGGTTACTTTTCTTATTTATTCTTATATGCTATCTATTGTATTTCTTTATTTTGAACAAAGCAAACTTTTAATCTGTATCTACCACGTGATTTAAATGTTTGTTTCAGTTAAATGTTTGTCTATTTTTATGTTATATTTTAACGTTGGTTTATTTTTGACTGCCATTTACTAATGTATGTTTATTTATTTTCTGTATATTTTTTTTTACTCTATTGACGTGTCTTATGTCATTATATGATGATCTCACAGAGCCAATATATCTAGATATTTTCAATAGCGCATGGTTTGTTGTTAATAGTTTCTACAAGAATGTAGTTCAAGTTCTACAATTCCTATACAGAATAAAAAACTACTCAACAACTGGAAGGAACAGAGAAATCAAGGAATGTTTGAGATTAACATATGGAGCGTTATTTTTAGATTCAATTATTCGTTTATTTATATTTCATAAATTCCAACAAAACACTCGGGAATCTTAGTTTTAGTGTTGTTCAGAACTTTTTCTCTTGCTGAAAAATAAATAGCAAACTCAAACAACAACACAGAAACAACTGGCTACAGAAAATTTACATAGCGCCCTGTCACACATCGTTTCATATTTAGAAATTTCATTCACAAATCAAATAAAAGGTCTCGCAACGGTGGCAAAAGTTGTATTTCCCATTCCGGCCGTTTCCTTGCGTCCGTGAATAAAGCCGTGTTTTCAAACAAGAAAATAAGTAAATATTTCCCTCTCGAGTGCCATTACTCGACCCGTTATTAAAAATAAAATAACGGCCCAGCTCGCAGGGCTGGGTTTTCATTTTCTTGTTCTCAATATGAAGCTAGGCAAAAACACCATATGAGACAGGTTCCTGAAAAGTGGAGTCAACTTCATTAGGCTCGATGACAAAAAAATCAAGAGAATAAAATTCTTTCACTGGAAGTTTCCTTACAGTGAGAAAAGATTCGTCAAATGTTTTCTCGATGAAGATGAGCACGAACGTACCCTAAACAGATCAAATTTGGGGGAAATGGGGAGCGAATAGTCGTAACTCCGTTTTCGATCAAATGCGATACTTTGGACTCAATCTCAGCATGGACGGCCTCATTAAACAATGACTTCTTAAGGCTAAACGACCAGCTTACGCTCTGTCTCCAATCATCGGCTTCAGCTCGGATGTTTCGATAGAACTGAAATTAAAAATAGTTGAAGCACGCATCTACCCGGTACTAACATAAAAGTGGCATTAAATTAGAGAGGTGCCTTAAGAAGATAATAAAAGATCTGGGCAGTTCCTCTACTGCATCCCAGATAACATACTTTGGGAGATGCTACAAAAAAGGACAGTGTGGCAACTTGCCTGGATCAGGTTCACAAGAAATTTCTCAAAAATACCGAGAAACACAAATCAGTGAAGCCGATCTTGACCAAAGTAGATCATCCAAACAGCCAGCGATGTCAAATCCAGCCTCCAAGATTCAAGCGTCCTGTGGACGGTATCTCATAATGATATTTTGTAAAAAAGTGTTATCCTTCGTCCCCTTCTAACTCGTACTCCACCCCTTTCCACAGAAATACATATTTTGAAATACACAGAAGCAATACTAATTTTTGTTTCTCGTTGTTTATATCTACGCCAAAGACATATGTAACATAACCTATATAAAATAAAATACAAACTTTACCTTATGACTTTCAAATCACGCAATCTCGAGCCGTTCCTGGATTGCAAAAGAGTCAGACAGCAACTGAAGCCCTTCACAATCAAAATCCACCGTTTCAATTTATAACTTGTTATGCTGTTATGAAAAACAAATTAGTTGTATTCAAAACTGAAACCCCTCACAATATGGAGTAAAGCGGAGAAGAGCCCAACCCTCAATTAACGAAAAAAGCTCCATAGTGAAATTAAATCGACATCAGTACACTGAGGGTGCTTTTGTATTCATATTGTTATTACTACCTGGAAGCTTCCACTTCAGCAATTTACTTCAATGGAACTATTGCGATGGAAGTTAGAACAACATGGAAAAACGACTCTGTTAATGTTTATAAGACGATCACTGTAGTAACGTGATGCTGACGTTCTTGAGTTAATTTTGATAGTTTTCAATTTATACAGTGAATTGTAAAGACAAATGAGTAACTTAAAACAGTGTCATAGAATTTCTAAGAAAAGAGGGTCATCAGCCGAAAACAACACTTAAGAGAATTGTTGCCGTCTATGGGGATGACTCATAACATATTACACAATAAAAATTCGGTCGAAACAGTTCGATGGGACATGAATCCACAGAAGACGATCCTAGAAGTGAAACGCCCAAAACAGCAACAACTGATGAAATGACTCAAAAATTGCAGCCCTGGTTCTCGAAGATCGTCGTGTGAAGGTGTCTACCATTAGTTTGGCATTGAACATATTAGAACCCAGCGTAATAACCATCTTGCAAAACAATTTGAACATGACTAGGATGTCAGCCAAAATTGCGCAAGTTGGAAACTTCAGAAATTCAGGCATTTGGAAACTGTCACCAACGATTTTGACTTTTTGACACAAATTGTGATGGACGACTTGGGTGCATCATTTAGATCCTGAGACAAAAACAGTCAAAGCAGTGGGCTCATAAGGGGTCTCCACCCGCAAAAAGGCAAGGACTCACACTTCTGTTGGAATATGTCAGCAAGTTTTTTTTGACATCAGGTTCATCGTCTCATTGAATATATGTCATACGAGACAACAATAAATGCGAACGTATATGCAAACACTATAAAGAATTTACCTAGGTGAACGAACCAGAAAAGATTCGATTCTTTCATTCAGGAAGTATTAGAAGTGCTATATAACAATGCGACCAATTCTGCATGAATGCAGCTACATCGAGATAGGCCATCCTCCCTATACTCCTGACTTGGCTTTGTCTGACTTTTACCTCTTTAGACTACTAAATAAAAATCTTTGAAGACACAGTTTTGACTCAGATGATCGCCTAAAAGCTGGCGTCGACAGCATTTATGAGAGTCAAGAGGAAATATATTTATATAAGGGTATAAGTTCACTGGAAGAGAAATTGTGCAATTACATACATTGATGTGGGGGATTATATTGAAAAATAAAATGATCAAAGAATGTACGCCTTTTGTTCCATGGCTACGTATATTTCTTTTCTAGTCTTAGTTGCTATGGAAAGGGAAGGCGCGGTAACTAATATACCCCTACCACTATAATTAGCAACCCGTGTGCTAAAACTTAATGTGTCGAACCTTCAAAGGAAGATCACAATGTCATATAATTCCGCTTTATAGATTTTTTTCTCCAGCAAACCCAGTAATTCTCAAAGACCTTAATCTACAACACACTTGCTCAATTGTCCAGGTGATGGAATGATATGCCATCCTCTTCCTAGCATTTGGTTCAAATAAGGTCTTTCCTTATTGCCATACGTTTATACTGCGGAAGCATGTGTGAATCACAGCCGGATGACTAGAGGACCCTCTGCTTTTGTTCCTGGCAGATGTCCAGGCACGCACGATACGGTCACGTCTTTCACGAGAGCTGAACTTGAAAGGTTGTGCTGAGATTTTTGGACTACAACTGATCTTTCGAGAGTATATAAGTTATGATTCTATACATACATCTCTTTCTTACTATGAAGCTGCGTTTTTGTTATATAGTTTATGCTGCTCTTGTATGTAGGAAACATCCACCTGAAGGCCTACCCCAGCAGGTCTACAAATACCCTACCGAGAAATAAAAAGCGTCACTCTCATTACCACATTTTCCACTTTTTATCCGCTAGACGTTACATTTCTGACTCTCTAAGCCCTTCATAATGAAGGAGAAAGGTCGGTATGAATGAGGTTGAGTGGATGAGAACTGCTCGTGTGGCATGTGACCTATATCTTTTCTTACCCCTGACATACGTCGAGGTTCTGCAGACGAAGGGTGGTTTATCTCCTTTATCGTTAGGGAAGCTGATGTGACCTGCAAAAACTGGAAATGTGTTAATACGGTACCGACCTAACACTATTATTTCATAATAAGTGTATAAAGATTATTTGATTAGATTGTATAATTAGATTAGTGGAATTGAATTATTATTTGGTATTGCTAATGTTACATTTATTATTTCCCAGATCAACTGGCGGGGAAGTTGTAATTCTGAAAAATTCTGGAATCTAAATCTTACGTTTTTTAGTCACTTGACCTAAAACTAATACGCCCGCTTCATATTCCGACTCAAGACAAATTAGTATATCACCCGAATTATTTACTGGAAAAAGCTATGTTTTCAGATCAACATAAATCTAAAATATTGCCGCCCAGCAATGAGGATTTCAATAAGGCTGCAGCTGTGGCTTTAGATCTAACTGACAACGTTGTTAGAACCTGGGATCAGCAGATGATCACTTCGTTAGTTCGTTTACACTTCTCTAAGGCACTCAATACCATAAATCATAGTCTTTTTGCAGCCAAGTGTAAATTTTTCGGATTTTCTGATACCTCTGTCAACATAAATACAGAATAGATAATCGATTTCAGAGGGTAAACATTGATATGGTTTTGTCTCCCTCATTTCCTCTGGAGTACTGCAAGGATCTGTGCTTGGACCACTGCTATTCATTTATATATTTCAGATCTACAAGCCATTGTAAAAGGTTGCAGTAATTAGTTCTTTGCTGATGATTCTCAAATTTATAATCATTTTCATAGTTGCAACATTCAAAGAGAAAAATCGGAGGTCAATGAGTACGCAAAGAGACGTAGCCTTCAGTTAAACCCCTCAAAATCAAAAATCATTATTTTTTCCCTATAACCTTTAAGAAACGATGCCAAAAATAAATTTTAAACAGGGTGTCTACCATATTTTGATCCATAGTATCTCCAGTTTCGAGATCTTCCAACCTTATAAGCCTAAATGGTTCTATTGGTCAAAATTTGGGGATCACCTTTGATCAATGTCTGAAATTCATACCGCACGTGAACAATAAAAGTAAAAATTGTTTTTCCATTCTACTGCAGTTATACCTCAATAAACAATTTACTAACAATAAAACTAAAAAAAAATGTGACACTAGTAATGTCAAAAATCACTTACAATGATACATATCGCTGGCTTAGAGTTATAAGGTTCTATGTGATAATTTGGAACTTTTGTAAATAAGTTCTATGACCACTATGCTTCGTATTGTGGGTTCCAGAGTTTTATGTTTTTCTACTATGAAAATATAGGACATTATTTCATAAAACTATGCAGCAATATTATATACTATAAGTTACAAAGTCCCCCCATAGAACTTAATGATCTTAATACTTTATTCTTTAATGTTACTCCAAAGTTGTATGTGCAACATAGAAATTCAATATGAGAAAGTACCTTTTCCAAAAGTTAAACAGTTACACCTTTCAAAAGCAACGCCGAATATTGTACACTTTAGTTAAACTTATTCAAGTGATCTTCTTGCGAACTGTAAAATAAAAGATAAGGGTACCATGAAAAAAATCTTGAACAACGAAGCAAGACCCAGTACTGTACAAGCAGAGCTTGTACTCAGTAAAATAGAAGCCTTAAGATTTATGTTAAAATGGATGCCACTGATTAACCAACAATTTTGTTAAGCTAATATCCCTCAACTTAAACCTAAAACAAACAAAAAATAAAATATAAAATTCAAACCTATATTATTATATATTATGAATTGGTATTAGTTTTAATTATTACCTTTTTATTTTAATCATAGTACTATGTTTCTTAGTAGATTGATACATTTCATCTTGCTTAAAATGTATGCAAAGTTCTATGTTCTTCTTCAAAATAAAAGTGTTAAGAATAAAAGTTCTATATGTTTTTGTTTTTTTGCGACAATCTTCTCCCAATAAATATTTATTAAGCTAATAGCAAGAATGTAGAGCATTCTACTTTCTATCCAGCAGTTACTTCGATTAATAATTATTCAGAAACTCACTATAAAAGAGATACACCTCCTTTACACGTCTTAAAAAAATTCAAAATTCTTGTTGCTCTTGTTGCAGATTGATCAATAACATAAAGAAGTATGATCAGTATAATGAGGTTGGTATCGGTTGCCGTCAATATAAAAAATACTTGAGAATATATAAAATGTTACCGATTAGTCATGTCTGAATAATCGTACATGTGAGCAGTATTCTATTTTTCATTCTATTTTATCTCTTGTTTTTATAAATAGTGACGTAGCTTGATGGTGAGAAGTGCATTCTAACTCTACACAGACTATCCAGCAGCAGTGCGATCCTTTTAACAATCCTTTTTGGTCATATTGTGTGTAGTGTACTCTAGTTTTAACGAATGTTACAAAGGTCAAACTCTTGTTTTGATCTTACTCCAAACAAACGCAACGTATGTTTTCCGTGTAGCAAATGCTTGACTGGAATATTAAAGGACAGTACGCGACGCTGTCACGAACCAGACTAATTAGCAATTAGTTCCCAAATAGAGAAAAATATTAGTTTAGGATAGAGCTGAAAAGTATACTTGTTCGCTTTTCCCTTTTGAGGTTCTGTTTTTCCATGTCGCTCTAATTGAGCCCGATACCACTATTGCATTAAAAAGCCCCTTTGAAATATTTACCTTGCTGGAATTACACAGCGAAATGAAGAGCTGAACAGAGCTGCGGCAATGTTCAACATCGCTGCATCTAATACAGTTGGTTGTAACATATGCTAGAAGAAGATTCAGATTCAGATTTGTTGCTAAGAGTTTTTTCAAAAACACAGTATATATAACACCTATAATTCTTATGCAGAATGAAACTCCTAAACAACTGGATGGGGCAGAGAAATCAAGGAATGTCTGGATTAAAATTTTGGGGGTTATTTTTTAGAGATGCAAGTATTCATTTATTTACCTTTCACAAAAATATATTTGCAAATTCCAACAAACAGATGGAGATATTTGGATACCACTATGGCATTAAAAAGCCCCTTTATACAGGGTGGCCAATATATGACTGATTTAAATTGCGCGCCATTTTTGATACACGCATTTCAGCAGGTGGCGCCGTAGTAGTTGTTTAAAGCACATGTGTCCAATTCATCATGGAGCGCTACACGATCCCCCAACGTGTCCGTATTGTTAAACCGTTTTACTTAAATAATGAATTTGAATAAACAGGTGAAGTTAAAGACCTGGCAAGATCGGGCCATGATCGACATGCTCGTACTTCAGAACATATTGAGAGAGCGCCATGAGAGTTTTCAGGTATGTCAAAGAGAAGACGTCCTATTTTCATCTAAGGCTTATTACTTTGTGTGCAAGGCTTCTTTTTTATACTACTTTCGTCAAGGAGTGCACGCTATCGTTTTGGTTTTTATATAAAAAGCACACTCCACATCAAAACTTAAATTAATTTTAATTTTGATTTGATTGAAATGGCAGCATATTTCTAAGCGATTTGATATCGATCCTGTTATGTTCAACTGCCAAGGCAACTACACAATAGCCTTTTACTTACTTTGTTAGGATCTTTTGAATGAAGTATGGGCCCTGCTTTTTTCAGAATTGTTATTTGTTTGACCAATATACTTTATGTGCATGATAATACCCTCCCTGTATTCACATAACGCTTTATTAAGGGACCTTGACCAAATAGTCTTTATGTTAGCTAACACAAAGTTACGGTTCCACAATAAAGAAACCCCATTCCACAAGCGGTATAATTTTATGATTAGGTATCTAGGTTAACGTCCCCTTTCATGATCGACCCTTAACGCACAATGGCATTACCGAACTGGTCATTATACGACCTTTATTCTATTTCCGCCATTGATCCATTTAAATTACACCAAATGATAAGAGAATCGCGTGTTCTACTACAAATATGTACAAAGTTATTATATACTAGTATATATATTCCATTTTCATTGAACTTAAAAATAAAAAAGAACCAGAAGAATTCATATCTTCACCACCCAGAAAAAGAAGAAATAGAACCATATTAAAAGAAGTATGGGAAAAGAACAAGTAAAAAACCGCGCTTCAGGGGTGAAGAATATAAAGGCTATATGAGAAGTAGGGAGGAAGTTGTTAGCGAATGAACTTTTACGTCCAGCTAAATGCCTGCAAAAACATAAAAAACAGGTATTGTGGTAAATTTGGACGAGCGCAAAAATATTTTTTTAAAATTTTGGAGTAACATGTTGAATTGGAATGAAAGAAAAAAGTGTATATAACTTCAAGTATGGAAAATTCACGACGAACTGGGACTGGACATTTGGTTTAAAGGTTGATAATTATGATTCACGGCTGGATTGAAAAAAACTGAAGTTGATATTACCGCCTAAAGAAGATAATATGAAAAAAGTACACAGAAAATATTAAGGGAGCTTTTTGATAGTTTGTGTAAAATGCCATCACATTATTGTGGCTTTTCTAATCTAATCTTAAGCAATCCTGTTTTAGACTAAATATTTTCTGTATTGAATTTAGCTTTGAACCAGCCAAGAAAAACTCAAGACGAAGAATTAGCAACGCCGGAAAAGTTTGTCCTGTAGTTAATGCAAGTAAAGTTTATTACAAGACAAAGTTAGCAGTTCATACTTTTACCATATACGATATGAATACTCACATTTGCCGAAATTATTGGTTTAACGAAACGAAAGCCGATTTATACGCATTTACTAATTTTATTCTTGATTTATTTAAGATAATGCATGAAGAGCATTCCCATATTTTGTAGCCTGTCGTATGCGTATAAAGAAAAAAGTAATTGAACAAAAATATCTAGAGAAAGGTCCACTCACTGATAGAACGTAAGTTGAAAAATCGAATCATTGAGTTACCAAGTGATTATGTCAAATTAACCAAGGAAGCAAGACAAAGCCCTTCACATTGGAGACTGTGGATTTAATCCATGACTATTTTCTGGATTATGCAGATGAAAAAATTTAGACATATACCTCATCCGACCGTGAATGACTTACGGCATTTCTAAGAAAAATAATCGAATATAAGATGGACTTTGTTGACATTCAGCGCGATCCCTCAAATATCCCGAAATCAAAAACAAAGCTGCTCATCAACGCAGACTGAAAGTAAAAAAAAGTAAAGTTGAAACATCTCCACGACATCAAATACGTTTTTTCGAATGACTGTCATAGCTTTTATGGCAATTTGCCCCATTAAAAATGCTTTCCTCAATATTCAATTAAGTTGATAACAGTTTAGTTTAAACTTTTGTGTTTAGTGTTAAGTGTTTGTTACCTATTATGATATCCCGTACCGTAACATTTTTAAGTTCTTTGTTATACTATCTAAATCTTACTTAATTCAATAAGAAAGAAATTTAGACCAAAAAACTTTTACTTTATCAACTAGTTGTCAAAGTGTAACATAAAAAGGTTTTGTAACATTTTGAATAATATTTATCACGTAAACTACCGATCCATACAGTTACCGGGTATTAAAATCTATATATTCCAGTACAGCTGAGGATAGCGATTGTCTTGTGTTACTCCATACATAGCTCACATAATTAAATAAATCAAAAATAAACTAATGGAAGGAAACTGCTTTCTATTTAATGCAAATCTTGCGTGAGTTTAAAGGCATCCGCGCACAAATCCTGGAACAAAACTCTCCAGTGTATCACACATCAAATTACGCCATTGCTGTATCGCCATTCCCGCCATTTGGCATCCTTTCGCCAGCAGTGCCCGATTCTGCTTTTGTTTATGCCCTAAGGGCGAGCCCTTTTGATTGCGCCTTCATTTGTGCCCGGCCAACTTTATATTTTTCCGCCGCTGTTGCCACACAGAGAAGAGGTGGGCCATTCAGCACCAGACCACACACAAAGCTTCCGCTTTTCACGAGAGTTTCGTAAACAAACTTCACCCTGGATTTCGAAGGTGACTGGGATATTATTGAGCAATAGCAGAATACATTTGTCTGTCACGTATCTACCGAAGTGATAAAGTTAGCAGTTTGAGGTATTCTAGCAGGCCATGAGCATTTTAAGTTTACATTACTACAGCATTATTTGTCTAAGGGCAGCTTGGTCAGCTGTAAGTTGGAGTTACTAAGATCAAATTATCAACAAAATTAGAAAATTGTTTGATTTCATGCGGCAAAGCTTCCATTAGACAAAGAAATTTTCGTACATTCATCCAGGCGAGCTATAAAATACTGAAATACTGAAAATGCTGTCACTGATATGCCTTGGTATCATTAGAATTAACTTTTTTAATAGTTATGAATCTCGAAAGATTCTAATTTTTTGTTTGCGATGAACTATTCTACCATCTTAAACTGTTTTTACGTTCATATAGATCCAGATATAAAAAAATTCGGAGTCGTCGGGCAAGATGCCAAAAATTCCCGAACCCTCTAGGGTATTTCATAAAAGTCAAATATTAGAGCATCTAGCAAAACATATGTGTTCCAAATTTCATTCAAATCGGATTATCGGTTCTTAGACTATCTTGAAAAGTTCTAAAAAGAAAACTGACGCCCTCTCACGGATAAACAACGCACTTTTGCATAGAGGTAATTCATGTCCAATCTACTTATTTTGAGTCTCAAAATACGTAGTAAGTCCACGGAATATTGGGACACCCTGTATAACCCTCCCCACCCCTACAACTACCAGCCTTAATTTTAACCACTACAAAAAAATTCTGAAAATGATCAGGAGCCTCTGAAACGTCAATAAACGATGTTTGAGCGATATTTATTTTGTTCATTTTTGCCACCACTGAACCGATTTTCAAAAAGCATAATGCTCTTTCGCCCTTGTCATATCAGTAGCCTTGTGTAAACAATTTTATCCAAATCCGTGTGGTGCCTTCCAAGTTATAGACGCGCCAACGATTTGCATAGAGGCCGACACACAGACCGACGGAAATGAGTGATATGCTTTTTCGTGGGAAATAAAGAAAATGAAGTATGTCAGCACGATATTCACTATCATATCGGCGCTCTATGGTCTAATTAATTTTAAAATATGTATAGATAATAGGGGCAGAATAATAGCTGAAGTGATGCATAGGTGCATCATTACTTATCCCAAATTGCGCCATTTGGTACATGACAAATCGTTATGAATTGGCTTAGATTCGGTAAATAAGTAAATCTTCCTAGAAGCAAATATCCATCTGTATTTTTAAAATATTACACAATAATAATAAACAGATCCTTATTACAGAGGATTGAAAACGAATATTTGCAAATATTACCTAAGCCTAAGCTACTATTTGCGAAGTAGTTAACTTGATTAAAAGCTGTAGGGAATTTCCCTTTGAAAAAATTAACTTTTGACGCCTTTTACGATTTAATATTCATCCGATTTTTGACACTCTGTATTAGCTAAATATCATAATAAATATACAAAAGTAGACCCTTTTCTACCAGCAAGCAGTTGAAATACGGATGGACAAATGAAAATATATAGGAAACATTCGTAGCCTTTTATAGAACTGCATTTGTGATTTTTTACACAAAATTTGTTTTTTTCCAAAAACGATTAGAGTTAGATATAGGTTGTTTTAAGTGAAATGTGTTCATAATCATGAGCGTGGTAGTTTTCTCAACAGGACATATACAAGCACAGCATTTTGCACTCATGATTAATCGTGGAATTATTTATTATCTAAACCCCAAGCCACGGTATTGAAAGGAAAATATATACATTCATTCTAAAACAAACAGGAAAGGGAAACTGTCTCCG